TATCTGCAAGGTGCCCTTCGTAGGGCAGTGTAGACAGAAGGTGCTCAATGGCTGCTCAGAAACCAGGACCAAGTGGCCTGTGAGCCTGGATGCTGCGGCCCCCCTGCCATGGGAAGCAGCAGGCCCTGGCCGGTCTGCACAGGAAGGGTGTCCGGCAGAGGGGCTGCGCTCAAGTAGAAGCTGCCAGTGAACAGAGTGTTCTTGGAACAGCCAAGGAAGCAAACCGTGCCCAGGTTCTGGGTCTGCACGGCCAGGAGGGCCAGGCAGCCTGAGTGAGGACAGTCTGCGTGCCGTGGAGGCCCCTTGGCCCATGGCGCTCCTGTGACTGGAGCCAGGCAGAGGCCTCACCACACCCGATGGGCCCAGAGGCAAGGGAGCCGCCTGTCCTGGGGAGAGGGGTGGGTGCCCAGGGCCAGAGCAGGGAGCAGCCGCCACAGCCATTGTCCATGGTCAGGGGTCTCTGGTGGCACTCGGCCCTCGTCTGGCAAACCCTGTGGGTACAAATCAGGGGCAGGAACAGCCCTGGGTGGGCGGTGGAGGGCACAGCAGGCGGGGGCCTCTCCCCAGCAGGAAGGGGTCCGGAGCGCGCCCTGCATCCTCCTGCACAGCACTCGACTGTGTAAATATTTTCCTTAGGAGCGGGAGAGAGCCTCCATTCATCGGCCGCTCGCACTTGAAAGAACTGAGAAGTATCTGTTTAGGCAGAGAAGCTAAAAACAGTGTCCACAGCTCCTTAAAAAAAAATCATTTCTGCAGCTCAAACACAGCCAAGCTGATTTTTTTAATGCAAAAAATAAATAAATATGACCCCACTCCCAGTTGAGAGCTCAAGGGTTTGTGTCAACACGGCGAGGGCCTTTGCTTGGGAGCCAGGGCCGGCCTGGTGACTCAACGCCTTCGTGGTTCCTCCTGCACTGCCAGTGGGCCACCACCCAGCTTAGCCGGGCTGGGCGCGGGGCATCCCCCCAGGCTGTCCTGGCCAGTGTCAGGTGTGGGTCCCAGGGCGTGGGGCCCTTTGCTGCCCCTGTGGCTGCCCAGCCGCCTCTATCTCTCGGAGCTTAGTGTCGGAGGCCAGCATCAAGCGAGGCCTGGAACTTGGCAGCTCCATGACCTTCACCTTGTGCCTCAACTTCCCTGGCTTCTGCTCCCTTCTGCACAGCACAGAGGCAGCTGGCACCAGCCTCCCTTGGGGCCACTGTCAGAAGCAGAGGAAGTTTGTGTTCCCCACCGTGCACCCGGAAGGGTGACTTGCTGCCGCCTCATTGTCACCGTCCCTAAGACTTCAACGCTGCGTTTATACCAGGGGAATTGGCAGCAGTCACAGGGCTTTGGTTTGGAAGGGAGATCGAGGGTGAAAATTGTTCTTTAAGAGTCCATCTCCCCAGGACGAGGTGGCTCTGGACACAGTGGCTTGGTGAGGCCTGACCCTCAGCACACTGGAGCCCTGCTTCAGGGACCCAAGACCCTGGGAGAAGGGTGGCCATGTGGAGGCCACAGCCCTGACCTCCAGGGTGACTGGAACTGCGTCCAGTCGTCCACTCCCATGGCCTCACTCTCTCTGGCAACCCATGTGCCAGCACAGACAGTGCTGACTCAGCCCCAGAAGAGGCCTCCAGGTCAGCTCCGGCGGGTCCTAAGCTCCTACCACATCCTTGGTTCAAATATGTGACTTCAGCAATGGATGAGGAAGAAATGCAGGTCAGAGAGAAGGGTCAGGCTCAGAGGCCTGGGCAACAGGTGGATGAAGCAGAGGGCTCGGGGGTCACCCTCTCAGACCAGGCTGCGGGGTGTGTGTCACACACAGGGCTTTGTCCCCTTCTCTGGCTTGGGAGCTGCTGCCTGGAGAGGCTCATCTGTGCTTCCTCCTGTGAGAACGGCGTGGATCTCCACTTCCTCCCGCGAGCATGGCCTGGATCCCTGCTTCCCTCCACAGGCACAGCCCGGATCCCTGCTTCCTCCCACCGGCATGCCCTGAGTCTTCAGTACCATGTCACTTTGAAGGGAAGGAGCTCCTGGGATGTGTTCGTGTCCCTACAGGGAATGCCAGCCCCTCGGGGACACACCAGCCTGCTGAGCTGTGAGCCTAGTGGGCCTGTGCAAGTGTGTGTCAGCTCTTCGCTGATTTCTTGGAGAACAGAGGGTATTTATTTAAGAGTCAAAAAAGATGTTTTGACCAACCCCACTTAGCTAAATCCTGGCACTGATACTTGAGAGAGAAGCTAAATGCTGGAGGTCAGACCTCGCGTTTTTGGCTAAAAATGTTTAATCAAAACACACCTAATACTTCTGCCGGGGTGCGGAGAAGTGGAGAGCAGGAAGCCACTGCCAGCCATCCCCACGCCAGCGGTGCGTGTGCAGAGGCTAAGCCAGCAAAATAAAGAGGGTTTTCAGCAGTGCAGAGGCCCGGCCGGGGAGGAAGCCAAGGCCAGCGGCTCCGGGGGTGCGCCCCGTGGTTTCTGCCAGGGTCAGCAGCCGGTGAGGAGGCCGTGTTAATGACATTCATACCTGCCAGGGGCTGTGAAACAGGGCAGCAGTTCCGGCTCGGCTCGGCCTCAGCTGTAGGAGCTGATTCTTTCTGGAAAGCCACTGCACCAGCTTCCTCTGAGGGGCACTGGCTGGGTGTCCCTCCTGGCACCATGTAGCTGAGGAAAGCTGGCCTTACATGGTGCACGCTTTAACCCACCGCCCGGTGGCACATGCCCTCTGGCTGGTCCTCTCCCTAGTTGTCTTGGACATTGGCGATGGCACTGTTCCAGGGTCCCTCTCTGTGTCCCGTCCCATGATGGCTCAGTGTAGGTGAGAGCCAGTGCCAACTGGTGGGTTAACCGCACCCCACCACACCCAGCCACTTTTCAGTCTCTGACCAAGGCCAGTTGTGGTCATCCACAGCCCGAGGTCTGTGAACACAGGAGTCCCTTGGGCTGAGACAGCAGGTATCAGGTGAGAAGGCCCACGTGGCTGGCAGCACATGGAGAGCGGCCACTCCCCTTGCCAGAGGCCAATTGGTTTTCAGGGACGCCTTTCCTGTGGGTTTGGGCACAGTTTGGGGGGCAGCCGGGGTGCAGGTCACAGAGTCCACGGGAGCCAGGCTGCAGGAAGGACTGGGCCTCTGGATTCCCTCACCACAGCACCTGCTCTCCTGGGAGAAGGTCTGGCATCCAGGGGACCCAGAGCAGCCCACTTATCTTTCTTGCCAAAGCCGAGGCCTCGATCCAACTTCCAGGTCCTCTTGTCTCCTGGGGGTGGCCTGTTCTCAAACACAGTAGCTGTCACCGTGTACGGAGAGGGACATATTTCCAGGATATAGCCTCCAGAATATTCAGAGGAGACTGGATCCCATCTCTGCCCCTCTGGCAACTGACTCAGGCCCCTTCAGCCTGTGTGTACCGCTGACCCCAACAGCCATGTGAACCTAAGAAATATTTGCCCCGGGTTGTCCCAAAAGCCCAGGTGATGCACCATGATCCCTCTTCTGGCTCAGCACCAACCGTGGTTGGGCTGTCCTCTGTGGCCCTGGCTTGGGGCTGAGAGCAAACAGAGAAGAGGGTGGATGCAGGTGTGTTCATGGCCCGGACACAGCCTCTGCCTCAGAGGCAGACTTTGCACATGTAGTACTGGCCTGGGCATCTGCATGTGACCCAACTCGGTGGCTCCCTCCTGGGAGAGACTTCCCCAGGGTCTCTTGCATCCTTCACCTTTCTCTGTCTCATTCTTTTTCACTTACTGCCATTTTCCAAACCACAATTTCAGAATCTATTAAGAGAAGCATAAAATCTCCAATTGGTTAGAATTCTCAACATCTAGAAACATGACCTCTTGGGCCAGGGATTTATCTCATTGGTTTCACTGCCTGCCTCGTAAGCACAAAGTCCCGAGTTCGATCCCCAGTACCAACAACAACAATCAAAAAAAGAAACATGATCTCTTGTTGTGACAGCTGGGCTGGCAAACAAGCCTGTGTGCTGGACTCTGTGCCTGGGTCCTCTTGCCTTGGCTACATGGGCATCAGTGGGCACTGGATGGATTTAGGGGAGGGGAAGGGGCACCTGCACTTGACGTGGTTTCTCCTTCAAGTGCTGGCTTCATCTGGTTGCTCTGCTAATGGCAGCACCATGATAACTTACATGTGTGAGTCTGTGAACTGGTCAATTTGCTTAGCTTGGAAACTGCCCTGGGGCAGCCATGCCGCCTCTGGAGAGGAGCATGGTGGGTTTTAAGAGGCGACACCAGGCAAGAAGCCACAGTTGTCCAGAGCCAAGCCCTGAGTGGACCCTGGGCCAGGAGAAAGGTTGGACTGTAGCGTTTGCTCTCACTGCTGCCAGGCTTATCCGTGAGCAGGACGGAGGGCCAGGGTCCCATGCCGCCCAGGGCTAGAGGGGAGGAGTGGCGCTTCTGTGAGGTGGACACTGCAGCTTTGGCCTCAGCCTGGTCTCCGCAGACTGGAGGAGTCCCCACCAATGCCTTGGACAGATGTCCTCTTCTCAGGACCCAGGGTCCGCAAAGAGCAGATCCCAGGCTGCTGCCTCTGAGCTTCGGCCAAGGATGAAGCAGGGGGCAGGAAGGCAGCCAGACCGTCTTTCCTGCCTCTGCCAGGTGCACCCTCCTCCAGTGGCTCCCCTGAGTGCTGCCTCCCAAGCCAGGTTGGAGGTGCCGGGGGCAGGGACGAAGTCCTCTTCACCCTCCAGGCCAGGCAGACAAAGTCACCTCCTAGTGTAACCTGCTAGGGTCACTGGGGAGCAGGGGGCAGGTGACAACAGACTGCCACACATTCCCATGCCCTTGTGTTTCACCCCACGGGTCCCCCGGTTACTAAAGGGCCACTGTGAGTTACCCAGCATGGGCCCAGGACATCATTTCCAGGAAGGACCCTAGGGACACTCAGAGCCCCCTGATGATGGGGAGCCTCTCCTGGAATAGCAGGGGTCCCAGTTATCCCCGGCCACCCCTGCTACAGAGAGACTTCTGATCTGCTGACAGCACCTCTCACACTTGTCTTGCAGCCCATGCTGATGGCCATGGAGGTGTCCTCCCGGGAAGGCTGCAGCAAGAAGGTAGGCGACTGCGTCAGGGCCACGTGCCCGCTCTGGTCTCTGGGTGGCCTCACCATTTCTGTGGTCCCTGAGTTGCGAAGTGTTGTTCGAGTGTCCAGGAGGTCTGGGAGCAAGGTGCTCCTGAGCAGTGACTGAGAAGGAATTAGGGAGGGGCTGCTCCAGTGGGCACCCCAAGGCTTCAGAACAGAGAAGAATCCCGTACCTGTGGGAACACTTTGGGCCTTGCACGCACACAGAAACTGAACAAACCTGGATGGTATGTGTATTCAGTTATCTTATTGGATTCTCAAGTGGAAGGATGAGGTGGCTGCAGGTTCAGCAGTAGCTTTGGCCGTGCTCAAAGCTTCGAAAGAGGGCTCAGGCATAGCTTTAAATAAGCAGACCATTAGGGAAAGAAAAGTGTCCATGTGTGGTGTTACCTGCTGCTCTGCAGAGCGATGATGGATGGTAGCTGGTGGCAAGCATGGGCTTGAGATCCCCAGAGAGATCAGCAGAGAGACACGCACAGCCCCAGGGAGAGGGGCACGGGCGTGTGTACTCATGTGCACTTGGTGTAGACCCCAGACCAGGGCCTGATCCACACATTCCTGAGTGTGTGTCGCTACCCGGATGCACATCTGTGCAAACACTTGCACACCCATGTGTGTGAAGCTGATCTGGTGTTTGGAGCTTCTGGTGATGTTAGGATGATGTTCCCACCCTGAGCGTGTCTGTTCAGAAGCAAGGTAAAGGGCAGAGGCCCGACGTGCACCCCATCAGGCAGCGCTGGAAGCCCAGCATAGGCTGTAGGGGAGGCCAAGTCAGCCAAGTGGCCCAGTGGATTCTGTGGCACAGAATCTTTGCCTGGGAACCTGCCCTCCCTGGCTCACACCCGGCCCAGCAGCCCTCCGTGGGCACAGCCCTTCCCTGCTCCCCCAGAGAGAAGAGAACCTGGTGCCAGCTCTTCCCGGGCTCCAGTGGGCTGTGTTCCCTGTCCCCACAGGCTGTATGACCTCAGAGGGACCCTCTGGGGACAAGATCTCAGTCCTCACCAACTGGGAGAGACCTGGGTCCCTCTTTCCTTAAAGTAACTGTGCTGTGGCTCCATTTCCCATGATGTTCTTTCCCTCTTCTCTCCTATCCTGCCCCTTTGAACACATTGCAATTTTCTCCAAGGATGTAAGGTAGCAAGAGGCAGGAAGCGGTTTTTCTGTTTCTCAAAGAATTGTGGTGTTTCCACTTCCCTGGGAATGTGGCCTACAGCCCACTGCACCTTCTAGAAAGGGAGGAGACCGTTTTCCCATCGCACAAGGAGAGCTGGGCTGGGCATCCAGAGCTGAGGTATTTTGCTGAGGTATCACAGAGGTATCCGGGTGAGGGTCTGCAGGGGAGGTGGAATCCAGTGGCCGCTGGAGTGCCAGCCTGAGTGCCAGGGTCAAGGCAGCAGGTAAAAGGTCAAGTCTGAGGTCAGAGGCCTGAGAAGAGGCAGATGCTGGACTCTCTGGAACTCACACAGAATGAGACAGGATGAAAGCGACAGTGGCAAAGACAGTGGCCACGCCCCCTCTGCTCCTACTCCTTGTCGGCCTTTTGATCCAGGTCTTGCTTCCTGAGGACCAAGGTCATGTTGAGAGCTCAGGGTCAGGCACGCCCAGGCACTCACCTCGACTTCCCATTGTGGCAGGGGGTCTGCATTAAGTGCAAGTCGGGGTGACACAGAACAGACCTGGGCTCCGGGAGGCAGAACGAGAGGCAGGGCAGCAGCAGGTTCAGGGCCAGAGGGGATGGGGCAGCAGCCTTCCCACTGTGCCAGCCTCTCTCTGCACTGCTGGAGAGGGGAAGGGGGGGGCTCCTCACCTCCCTGCTCTGCACACACGCCTCCCAGCCTCGAGCTGAGCTGATGGCAGTGTGCGGGACTCTGGTGTCTGCCCGGCCACCTGGTAGGATGATCAGAACTAGAGCTGGTGCTCGGGTCTGGACTCCTCCAGGGGCAGCCAGGTCCCACGTCAGGACTAGAGCGAAGGCGCCTGGCCCCCTGCGGCCTCTGCAGAGTGGAGCCGAGTTGCTGGAGGAATGAATTCAGTGACTTCCTGGTGTGCTGGTTTTGTGGTTGAGTCACCTTGGTGGGCACAGCTTGCATTAAAAATAAGATGGGGAGGTGTGGGGGCTAGGTGACCTTGGTTGTGACCTTGGGTTGTTCCGCTGGCATCTCAGCTTCAGCATGTACACCTTGGGGAGGACTCTACCTCCTGTCCTCTGTCTGTTTCGCTGAAATATAACAGTTTATGCTATTAGGGGCTTGACACCGCGACTGGGAAAGGGGACGTATTACCGGGAAGTCGCTGTTAGAAATTCTGTAAGTCTTGCAGACCAGCTTGCTGCAGAGGTGATAAGAGGAGGAAGGAGCCCAAGCCTAGGGAGGATGGCCCAGAACTCGCAGCAGTGTAGGATCTGAACCCAAGACCCCAGGGGACCTGAGCCGGGGGAGGCAACTTTGCCTGGGGGCATGGCTTCCATCAGAATGACAGCGGCCGCAGCCTGTGAGCTGCTGTGCCTGCCAGGCCCCGCCCCCATAAGGGGCGGAGCCACCTAGTGCCCTTTCCCCACATGCTTCCAGGCGGGTCACCTGGCTGTGGCTCATCCCTTGTCCCTGTCTCTGTGCCTTGCGGCCCCCAGCTCCAGCCTTGCTCCCTGATCCCGCGGCCTCATGTGTGTCCAGGTGCGTGGTGTGTGCGTCCCCAAAGTCCCCTCCACGCTGGCCTCTCCGCTGCTGGCCGGACCTCTGGGGCCGCCCCTCGCCGCCCCCCTGTTGAGGCTGTTTATCTAGGGGGAAGCCCGGGGGTCCCGGAAAGCAAACATCTGCGGGAGATAATCGAGCCAGCCGTCCATCCATCACCGCCGGCTCCCTGGAGAGCGCGCCGGGCCTGTAATAAAAAGGCCGGGCGAGGAGGCTTTGGGGACGAATAAAGAGCCGTGTTAAGGGCTCGCGGAAAATGGATGGAAGACATTATTAAGGCTCAATGGCCGTCTTATCAAAATCCAATAGGATAGACATTTGGCAAAAGGCTTAAATTTATTCTTTGACTTTCTGGAGGGCTTGAATTTATCCGTTAACAAGAGTGTAGTCCGCCGGGGCGATGGTATCAGCTGAAGGAATTTTGATTCAATCTCTTTGGTGATATGAAAAGGGGAAACACAGCCCCATGGCCTTGCCTTTGTCCTACTTTATCTTGTTTTCTTTCCCGTCTTTAAAGGAAGGACGCGTTAATACAGTGGACGGGGGAGCTCTAACAAAAGGAAGTGCCCTTTCTCTTTGTATTTTGATTTTCTCCCTTTCTTGACTCTACCACCAAATAAATAAATCAGGAATTTGCATCGTTGGAAGAGGACTAAGACCCGGAGGAGGTGCCTCTTGCGAAGCCTGTGGGCAGGGGTAGGGAAGGAGTCGAAAATAAATTGAGCTAACAGAATCCAATGGCTGGAAGAGGGGACGCGCTGGGCTCGTAACCCTCTCCTCGTATGGTCAAACTGCCAAACAGGCAATTGATTGATAATGATGATAATTTGTGAGGTGATCGTGTCGATGTTAGACCCTCGACCTGTCCCGCTGGGCCTCTGTGTGGCCGGGCCAGATGCCTCTGGTGACAGGAAGCTCAGAAGTCCCCTGGGTCCCTCCCCGGGGACCTGGAGCTAATGGAGGATGACTGCAGCGCTCTCAGTGTGGGAGCAGAGACAGACAGGCCACTGCCAAGTGTCTTTTGTGCAGCAATCACCAGAGGCCACACACCCGAGGCCCAGACAGGCTGCGTCCAGCAGCGGCTCGGGCCTTGTGCAGGGCTGGCCGCCCCTGTAGCTCCGCACAACACCACACGGCACGGCATAGCCAGGGATCAGTCCTGGGTTTCTCAGCCTTCAGTTTATTTTGTTTGTATTATTTCCTCCTGGGGGACGCAGAGGTATTTTCCAAGTGGCTGGAGGGCAAAGGAAAAATGGGGGAGGGCAAGCCATGCAGTTGCAACAAGAAATGCAGAGACCCTAGACTGCTAAAGCTGGGAAGGACGCGCCGAACTGCACCATGGGGTGCGGGATTCACTGTAACTGGGGACTCTGCCGCCGACTTAGCTTGGCCATGTCGAGCACTGTGCCTCTGAAGTGAGTTTTCGAATCCTTTTCCTGGCTGCCCCCAGCCAGCCTGCCCACTACACAAGGAACCCAGTACACACTGCAACTAAACGGCAGCTTCCTACAAATGCTCTTTATTACAAGAAAGGAGGGGGAAATCACACCAGAGTCCCCAACCTCAGAAATTATTAATTTGCATGTGGGATCAGTTATGTCTTTATGAAATCAAAGTGTGTTTAGCTGCCCCGAGACAGCCTCGAGTTGATTTTGATAATCTGGGGCTGAATAGACTTGCCTCCTCGCAGTAAGCCGGCCACAAAAGGCTGGACAGGGGCTGAAAGCCCTTCGACGACATGTCTCTCTTTCCATTGTTCTGGGGTTGCTGATAAAAGAACCGGGAGTCCATTAATTCAGTGAATGAACATATAGTAAAGTCAGTCCCCTCTTGAGAACAATAATGTTGAGGTCAGCTCTGGTTGCCGTGGAAACTAAGTACTCCTAAGAAGTTTGCATCCTTGATTTTGCTGAATCAAAGGCCACAAAGTGGAGAGGTGTAACGCAGCCAAGACAGCAGAAAGTCGGCGGGCACCGCCTCCCAGGCTCTCTTCCCCAGGCGCCGGTGGCCCTGGGGACCCTCCCCACACCTCACTCAGCGAGGCAGCCTGGTTGGCATCTGACTCCTCCCCTACTCTCCCTCTCCAGGGGGACGGAGGACCCCTTGTCACAGCTGCTGCCATCACTCATTCCAAGGGCAAAAATCAGGTGCAGCAAGGGCCCCAGGGAAGCTCCTGGGGCCTCAGGCCCAGGCGGACTCTGACCTCCCCCTGGAGGCACCTGAACTTGCCTCTCAGGGCGGGGCGAGCCCTGTGGCCCCTTCACCAGCTGATAAGGGTGACTAA